TTGACAGTGTGATGATCTTGCACACTTGTATGAGATTTACTCATGGTATTTGGTCTTCCTGACCCTTCATTATCAAATTGGATCTGGTTCACCTCCACTTCCTCCTGGATACAGCTGCTGCTGATGTCAATAAACAGAGAGCATCTGCTCTGGCAGGGCCTTGAGCTGGTCGCAGAGTGCATTGCTGCCAACCAGGCAAACGGTTTAGTCTAGGGCAGGGGACAGACATGAAAGGGGTAAATACTGGACTCTTTTTTAAAGTGCATATAAAGGGACCCAAAGGGAGTTGGTAACAAAGAGACTTGACATAATCTGAGGAGTGAGTGAGTGAGTGAGTGAGTGCCCCGAGGAAGTGGTTTTTGGATTGACACCTGGCAGATGAGGTGAACTATGGTGATCCATAGTTCATGGCATAAATGATGTGTGTGTGTGTGTGTGTGTGTGTGTGTGTGTGTGTATTATAAATGTCCTTTTGAAAAGGGAAAAGGGAGGCTTTAGTGGTAGTTGTGGGGCATCTGTGATGATGCCAATGAACTTAAAAAATTTAGTAAGTGCCCAATCACCTCATACAATTCAGGACCCACACTTTTAGTGGTGGTAGTTGTGCATCTGTGATGATGCCAATGAACTTAAAAAATTTAGTAAGTGCCCAATCACCTCATACAATTAAGGACCCACACTTGGTTGTCTGAAGTTCCTGCTCCAGGCTGCTGTGAGCACACTGAATGTAAGCAGGCAGGAGTCTTTGTGCGGGCCTGAGTGATGGGATGTGACATGTGCATCAGTTGGTAATTCCTGATACAAGTGTTTCAAATTCCTCTTCACATGCAACCCAAATCCAGACCCAGTTACAAACCACAGCTCCACTTTGATGAGTTCTTCCCTCAGCGTTGGGGCATGTGGTGCCTCTCTTGCCCCTCTAGACTCCTAAGCCTGAGTCCACTACCTCCCCCTGCCACACCTCAGGGTGGAAGGGGACTGAGGCAAGTAATGAAAAGTTTTCCTTATTATTTCCAGAATTAAGTCTGAAGGTCTTTAGGATTTGGAGACTGATTTTTCAACATTGTTAATGAATCCTTCTTACTACATAAGTGAAAAGTACAAAATTCTCGTGTTCACATGTACTTTTGGTCATTTGGACCAAACCTGATCAAAATCTTCATATGTCCCTGAATTCACTATGTACCCGTACTTCATTTTCCAGGAGAGAAATCAGGCTTCAGAGGAAGAATTTGTGTGATCACAGGAGGGTGATTGCAGGTGTGGGCAGGTCAAAGGGCTCAGAAACGTGGGTCCTACCACATCACGGCCCAGCGGGGAGTCTGATGCAAGGAACATGCTGGAAAATAGCAAGTTGAACAAGTACAATCAGCCAGCTCCTGTGGCTGTGCTGGATCTGAAAACAATCCAACCTCAAGGGAAGAACTTGCTTCCACAGGCTTTCCAGTCCCGAGCGGACACTTTTGTCCCTGGACGTTGACCAGGCCTGGAGTGGATAAACCTAGGGTCCACCAGTAATGGGTGGGTTCTTGACTGCATGCAGGAACGATTTCACAACACAAGGTAATCGTGAGACTGTCTATCAAAGTTGTGGATAGTGAAACAAAGTAAGGACTTAGGATAGATGAAGCAACAGGAGAGCCAAGGCCGGCTGCTTGTGGTCACTAGAACCGTTCTCAGCAAGAAGTGGGACAAAGTGGGGCTGCTTGGGTTCACTGGACAAGTTCTCAGGAAGAAGTGGACCTAGGCGGGGCTGCTTGGGTTTCACTAGAAAAGTTATCAGGAAGAAGTGGGCCAAGGTCAGGCTGCCTTTAATTCACTAGAAAATCAGAGAAAGGTGGGGCTGGAGACAGGTTTACAGGGGTCACTTAGAGTTTAGGTGATACACACTCTGGGGGAAGGAGAGAGGAGAGGGTAAGGCATGGACCTGCTCCCAGGAAGGAGAGGGCTCATGCTGGGTCCTTTGTTTTGAGGGTTTTTAAAGGCTGGGAGTTTAGGGGAGGTCTTAGGGGTGATCTCAATAGAATGTTCTTTTTTTATTGCTAAAAGTATTACAAAGGGTATTGCATATGTGTCCTTTTTTTCTCCCCCCCCTGCCCTTGACAATCCCCAATAGAATATTCTTGAGTTTTCCATGTGTTTCCTTTCAGGGTCATGGTCTCCCCTGATTGGTTGGCACCAGTCATCGCAGCTGGTCCTTGTGCGGCCCTCTGGGTTTTGCTGCTTTTCCGAGCCTGGAGCTCAAATACAACAGAGGCCTAGATATCATCTCTAGGGAGGTGACCTTCTGCAACTGGCTGTAAATTGCTCGGCTAGTTTGTTCAGCTGTCTGTCTCAGTTTTCCCATGCCACTTGCCAAAGAATTTTCCTAGCTTCTTCCTATTATGTCTCATTCTGACAAATGTTTCTTCCCCAAACTTAGATCAACAACACATCCCAACAAATAAAGATAATTTTTCATCAAAGGTCTCACCATTACTAATGACTTAGACCTACCTGCCAGGAGGACTTTCTCAAATATTAAAAGAAAATATTCCTACCTGGACTGCTTCTCCTGTGGGACTTTCCTGCCTCTGACCATGTTGGGGGATGGGAAGGGCCTGGCCCAGGAGTCAGGAGTCTGTTCAGTAATGAATTTGTCTATGACCTGGCTGTGCTACATTGTAGAACTCGCTATCTTTCTTTATTGAAGAGTAATTTTCCTTCTTTCCTTCCTTTTTCCCTATCTCCTTTCCTTCCCTTCTTTTTCTTTAATTACTTATTATGGGAAATTTCCATTTCAAACTTACCCAAATGTAGAGACAATAGTCCAATAGGTCCTCATGTACTCATCAGCTTTAACAGCTATCTTCATATAACCCATCTTTGCCAGAGACCAATTCCAGCATGACAGCAGGGCTGAATCTGGGAGTGGCTGATGGCATTTCCCCAAACCTGAAAAGGGATAATTGCTTGGCTGCCAGACAGATAAAGGGCATCTTAATCTACATGTTATTGCCTCCTACTGGCCAAACACCTGAACAGCGGTAGGCTAATTCCCCCATTCTGACAATGCTTGTGTATACCCTTTGAAGTGTATTATCTCTGCCTCGCCTCAGGACAAATTGTGTTAATAAAAAGCATGGGGTCCTGGGATGAGGAGACCTTAGACCTTAGATGTTAAGACCTTAGAACTTAGAACTTAGCTCTTTTAGCTAAGCTCCTCTGACCCCCAAATGCCTTTAAAAATTATGTTTTGTCTCTTAACTCTTTATTAATCTATGCACAGCCTTCTCCAGATTCCTGAACCCCTCTAGATGCTGGGACAAGAACCCCAACACATCTTGTTTATCCATACCTGTACTCACCTCACCCCTGGCTTCTTCTTTTTTTTTTAATCCTCACCCAAGGATATGTGTATTGATTTTTTAGAGAGAGGGGAAAGACGAGAGAGAGAGAGAGAGAGAGAGAGAGAGAGAGAGATGGGTTGCTTCCTATATGCGCCCAGACTGGTGATCAAATCCAAAACCCAGGTATGTATTCAGACTGGGAATCAAACCAACCTGCAACTTTATTTTTCAGCGTACAGGACAATGCTTTGACCAACTGAGCCACTGGGCTAGAGCACCCCTGGCTTCTTCTGAAGCAAATCCCTAAACATCAGTAAATTTATCTGTAAATATATCAGAATTACTTAACTTACTTATTGCTGTTGTCTAGTTGCTAGAAACAGTAATGAGTCTGTGAGATTATAATTTTGTAGGTTGACATTTTGGGCTGGGATCAGCTGAACGGTTCTTCTGTAGATTTTGTCTGTTCTCTCATGTGGGTGCAGTAAGCTGGTGACTTCTTTAGGGTTGGACAGTCCCTGATGGCCTCACTCACATGTCTGACAGTTGACCAAGGAGCCTTAGTTGTCCACCTGGCCTCTCCAGCAGGTTTGCTTGGGCTTGCTCCCAAGGTGGCAGTATTCCATGAGTTCCCTGTGGCAAGAGAAGCCCAATTGGGAATCTTTTAACTAAAAAAATTTTTTTAACTTTACTTTTATTGTTGACATCTGTTCACACAGATGTCCCCATACCCCCCCCCCCTTTACATACCTGAACCCAACCCCTGGCCTCCCTTACCTCTCGCCATCACCACACTGTTGTCTGTGTCTATGGGTTATGCATCTATGTTCTTTGGCTAATCCCTTCACCTTCTTTCATCTACTCCTTCAGGTAAGTGTCAGTCTGTTCCATGTATCCATGCCTCTGTTTCTATTTTGTTCATCAATTTATTTTGTTCATTACATTCCACTTGGAAATATTAATGTTGAAAAACATTCTGATTTAACTTGTGTTTTATTGTTTTATTTAACTTTTTTAAATGACTCTAAAATGTGTCATTAATTGGGTATGTTGTAATTTATTGAATAGGTCATCATGATTAAAACATTTTTAGTCGAGTGTTATTATTATAAATAATTTTTCGTCTTAAATGTCCAATCTTGATTGATGTATGTTGGAAGTTGACCAAGAGGGTGAAACACAAAGGCTAAAACACTGTTAGCATTAGCAGAGCCAAGGGACCTACTGTGAAAAGGAAATGGCACAAAGACTTTCTTTCTACCTCCAGGGTTGCTGAGGATCAATTTCTATGATCTCCCAGGACCTCTGGAAGGGAGTCCTTATCTCCAGCATCACCAATACTTTGCCATTGTTCAAGTCAGAAAAATGTGTACCTTTTGGGTGGGTTCTGCTCTGAGGGATAAATACTTGGTGAGGGGCACGTAGGCTGGATTATTGACCCACTCACCCATCATTCCATCACCCTTATTCATGCGTTTTTCCTGCTAATCCTTCCTCACCCACAACTTCCTCACTGAGTTTCTATTGCATCACAACACATCCTTTTCAAGGACATAGTTGTGATTGATTGTACTTATGATACCCGACACCTTCTCACCTGCTGGCAATCTTTCTAGAAGAGACTTAGAAACTGAAAGGAAGCCAGAGGGCGGGGCTTCCAGAAATCATTTATAACCTGCCACTTGCAGAGCTCACACACACAACCAGACACAATTTGGTAGAGCTTCCCAGCAGAAGGCACAACAATGGCAACGAAACCGGTGAGTTGAGAAGGCACAGCCTTCAATGATCCCAGGTCCCATAAGAAAGAGGAAGAGTCTGAGATTTTCTGAGATGAAAATATTGGGAATGTTTTACTGGGGCTTGTGAATACATGGAAGAGAGAGGATGGGCCAGTGTAGCTACTGTCAGCATTTGGTGGTATCTGACTGAGGGTGAACTCTATTGAGACACTGTGACTTTGTGTGGGAAATGACAGCTGACTGGGATGAGGGAGTGTGTGCATGGGTGCAAGGGGTGAGACTGCACATTTGTCTTCATGCCTCTGAGTATGTGTGTGTGAGTGCAGCTGGGGCAGTGGTTGAACAGCTGTGCATGTCATCATGAGTAGTAGTTTCTTTGTGTAACTGTGTGTGAATGATGACCTATGCCTTCATGTTGAACTATGAATATGTATGCAGCTGTGTCTGCTTGTGAGGGTTCTCCCCTACATGGTAGTGACTGTGTAAGCAGCTGTGGTTCTTTCCATGTGTATCATTGTGGCTCCTGGTGGGCAGAACTGGAGGTCTTGGGGAGAGTGGATTTCTCAGGACTCCTCCCTGAGCGTTAATGAGAGCAGAATGAGCCAGTCCTCAGATGCCTCTTCTCAAGGAGGCTGGGGGAAGGTGAACTCTGACTGTGGGGCACAGGAGCTCCTGTCTGAATCAGCACACAGTGACCCCTGCTCCTGCCTCAGGTCTCCTCCCCCAGCCAGTCCTTCCTTTGTCCTAACAAAAAACAGTAAGCAGATCCTGGCTCTCTGGGGAAGGTGGTCGGGAGAATTGGTTTCAGAGAATGAATCACCTGACGATGGAAGGAACAAAACCGGCCTCAGTCCAGACAAAGCTTACAGTCGATATCAGGGCACAACCTGTAGATTCTATCTAATTCCTTTCCTGTCTCCCACCCTGTGTGCAGGTACTGACTGTCCTCAGCAACTTATACACATTCCAGAAAGGTCACCATTGCCCCTTGGAAATTCTGATGCATATACATGCCACACACAGGAGTCTCCTTTTCCATTATTTCCCTCTCCCTTTAAACAACTATCTTATATTGGAGTGGATTTTTATATTTTATACTTTTATCTTCTAAAGCCTTATCTTCAGATAAAAACCGATGGGAGGGTCGTATCCCAGAAAGGGCCCTCGCCTTCTGCTAAGTCACCCCTGTCAGACCCTATACCTGCCAGTGACCATGCTGAAGGTTTTACATCTATTAGCTCAGCTATTCCTTAGACATCCTAGGAAATAGGAATTTTATAATCCTTCTTGTCCTGAGAAATCAGAGGCAGGGAGCATTCAAGTAATGGAACTCAGTTCTCATTGGTCGTAAGAGGCAGAATCAGCATTAGCATCTAGGCCACATGGCTTTTGAAATCTTGCTGTGAACTTCCACCTTCTCATTTCTTCAAAGACACAGGGACCTGCCTGTGATGAGGTGGGAAGAAGAGGGTCCTCAGAGTATGTCCTTTGATGTATAACCCGCTTTGCCACTGGGAACTGTTATAGGATGGGAAACCACACCTGGCCTTGCCCCTCTCAACCACTTTTGTCTCCCATGGCAGGTCCCATATACAACAAATCTATCCTTGCCTGTTAATTCTTCAGTGAAAATCAAAGGGAAGCCTGCTATGCCTTTCAAGTGAGTATCTATAGCCCATCGGGAGGAGAAGTGAGATTATTAGAGCTTTGGGGGTCACTTCATGCATGACTGAGGTTAAAGTTTGTAATTAGCATAATGGTAGCATAATGCAGTTGCAGTTCCTGGAGACCCATGTGGTGCCAGGCATTAAACCTACAGGTGCATGTCTGTGGGCAAGTAGTAAAGTCTGGGGGCTGGGGTCACTCAGGCATTGGGGCTGAGGTTTATTATCAAGGGACACAGTATTTCCAGGGCATGAAAAGTAGCCCCAGGCCAGTGACTGCTGCTCAGTGTGAGTCCTGGGCTAAGAGATGAGGCATCTCCCCAGCCTGGGCCGGACAAGCTGAAGCAGCCCCACAGGGACACGTACTGCAGTGTCACCCAGGAAGGCCTTCCTTCCCCCAGGAGGAGTTGGGAGGGTTTGTATGTGTATCTTGAATGTGGGCCCCCATGAGGAAGAGTCCTGCTCAACAGGCTGTGTGCTTTGCCTTCAGTATGAACCCAGTAATGCAGGTGGATTTCCACACTGGAACTGAAGTGGACTCAAACATCGCCTTCAGTTTCCGAGTGTGCTTTGGCAACTGTGTGGTGATGAACAGCCGTAAGAATGGGACCTGGGGTGAAGAAGTGAGATCCACTGATATGCTCTTTGAGGATGGCCAACCCTTTGACCTGGACATCTTGGTCCTGTCAGACCAGTACCGGGTGAGTGTGCCCAGGAACATCTACTACATGGGCTCCCAGGGCTCTCACAGGAGCACACGGCTCTCCCTGGCCTGGCCCCCAGAGTCACTTGTGGTTCATCTCCTGCCCCTCTCATCACACAGCACCCTCTGCTGGTACTGCCATGCTCAGGTCCTTTTCCAAATCTAAGCAGGTCAAGATCAGCAC